GCCTAATTTTAGTCAGGCGCTACTTTATATATCTAAAGTAGCTACTTTAGATAAATCGCTACTTTAGATGCAACAGAACTATCCATGATAAGAATAATATCAGAAAACAGAAACGAAAAACTTTAGTTATTCCGTATTTTTTTCGATCTTACTTAACCATTTTTTTGCGATTTTACTTCCATTCTTTTCTGCCCTTTTCCAAGCATTGATTGCCTCTTTTGGATTACTATCTTGGTCATACATTCCATAATATAAGATTTCCGCCCACATTTCTAGTGCTTGTCGATCATCACGGTCAACAGCCATTTTTAAATATTTAATACCGCTCTCTTTATTATGAATATCTGAATCACTAGTGCTCTTAAGGTATACCTCTGCGCAGTAGAATTGCGCTTTCAATACACCCGCGTCAGCCGCTTCACGTAAATAATGAATCGCCATGTCATCATCTTTTGAAACGCCGTATTTACTGCCGCCATGCAAATAGTAACCATAATAAAATTTTGCTAATGCATTATCAACATGTGAAAGCTCGCTATATCGCTGGAATAATGGGAAAGCTTCGGCATATTTCTTATTTTCGTGCAGCTTAATTATGTCTTCAATTGGAGGAAGTGAAGACTGCTCCTGTTTCTCAGGTTTTATCAATTTTGCATTCAAAGTTTCATTAAATATAGGCGTAGAGTCACTATTGTGAGGAATAGGTGCAAGACTGCAATTTTTTTGATATTCTTTTGATAAATTGTGAAGTTTTTCTCTTATTTCCATAATAGTTGGCCGATCTAATTTATCAATCGACCATCCTTGTTTAATTATTTTGATATACTCTAAAGGTGCATCAGGGGGATCAGGTGTTGGGCGATAATTTTTTTCAATTACAGATATAGTGACTTCGATATCATCTTTTATTTCATTAAATGGAATTTTACGCGTTCCAATCTCCCATAGAACAATTGAAAAGCTATAAATTTAATTTCGAATAAAAGGCGAGTAAAAGCATTTAGATTTTAGGATGGCCTTCATCATGATAAGAAAATATTGGCTTTAATATAACAAACCTATAAACGTCACATTGTTTAGTGTAAGGAGTATTGGGTTTTGATAGTTTTATTAATAAAAGAGTATAAGTGGGTTTTATAAGCTTTAAAGATGAGCAAGAAAGGTCCCCAGTTTCATTTTAATCCGATTTCATTATGATCTGACACATTAATTTCCACTGATTGAAATATGACTCGGGTCAATTCTTAACATTAATACAGTCCATTGAGATTTTGACAAAACTGATAATCATTGCACATTGATAAAATACAAAAAGCGAATTCAAGCAGTTCTTTTACTGGCATGCTTTTTTTTTTTCAAAAAATGTTCGAACACTATATAAAGATCAGAGGTGTTTTTATTACTTTAATTTCCTGAGTCATAAGACTTTTGATCGATCACTGAAGCTTATAAAGTCCTGAAAGATAGAGATTATAATTGATGTCTATATCTAAAAAAAAAAAAAACGTATAAACTGGTAAGAAACAAAATTTAACATGCTATATATAATATATAAAATGCGTCACTCGATGTCCCTAGATAATTATTTTGGGGTTGAAAAAAACAAAATTTAACATGCTAAATATGCTAAAATCGAAATATTCAAGAACTCCTAGCCGCAATATTTAAGAATGTCTTCAGTTCACAATATTAAGAAACAATGCTGTTCATTTCACTGAAAGTTCATTTAGTCATTGGTTAGAGTTAGTATTTTAGTTAATTGCGTACGTACTTGCATGGGCATGCCAAATTACATGATATAGACAGCGAAATCATTGATTGAAAATCAAAAGATCGAATATAATATAAAAATCAGATAAAATAATGTTTATTATTGTATTTCATTATAACACATTGTTAAATTTAACCAATATTTTGATTAATCAAGAAAAGTTATAAAAAGTAAAGACGTATAATCTGAAAAATCGTGATTTTGATATTTGGTCAATTAATATTAATACAGTATAACTTATATCAAGAATATGAATTAAATATTCTTCAGGATTATAAATAGATTAAAATTCTTAGAACTAAACAAAATTATTACATTTTAAAAAAGCTTCAAATGAAAATAAAATTACAAATAAGTTCTTGTCATGAAAAAGCTCTATGACTAAACTAACATGGGATTCAAAATTATTAGGGTTAAATTATATCATTAATTTGAAATTTGTTTTGTGAATCCAAGTTTAATTTCGGCACATAATGAAACTATCGGATCTGGATTAGAGATGCGGTAGAATCGTCCCAATGAATTTTACGGCATACGACCAGTCACGGTTACGGTTACGGCAAAATCCGAGTGATCCCATTGTGTCGTAATAATAATCAGTTTCGTAACTTTAAATAGCTACGTAACCTTAATTAGTTACGTAACTTTTGTATTATTATTTGTAATTTTAAATAAAAGCTTAATTAGTTATATAACTTT